ATCAGTCTCTGAGGTTCTTGGCAGAAATGTCAATACAAACCTGAATTTTTAGTGCCAAGTAATTTATGGGTGAGAACTAGACTTCCCAATTCAAACCATTCTATAGAATAACAATCCTGTGTAGGAAACCAGGAATTATCTTGTTGTAATCTTTGAAGATGGGGCAATCTACTTCCGTAGTGATACTGCCTGGGAAACCCAAGGAGGGGTTGCTATGAGTCAGTCTGACTCACTGGCACATAACAACAACAACAACAACAATCTTTGAAATATCTTGGCCATACAAACAGAGGACTGTTTTCCTCATCTTTTTAAATAAGGACACAGTATCACAAGAAGAGTGTTTTATGTCTGTATCCATAGTTTCTCCCCTATACCATTTACTTTTTACCCTGGATAATTTCAGATAATCATAAAAGTATATGAATCCTCATGTATGGATCACTTAACCTTTAACAATTGTAAACATGTTCTCAGTGTCCTCTAATATACTTTTTGCTGTGACATTAACATTCTAAAGTAATTTTCTCCTCTTTCTGTTTGCTCTTATTATTTTACCTCCTAGAAAATTCACTAAGGTTAGTCTTAAAAATGGAAATATTGAATGGTAGATTTCCTGATTTACTATACTTATTAGCTATAATATTTTGTATTATTTGTACTTCATTGTCTTCAGCCATTGAAGAAGCACGAAGACTCATTTCCAGTGAAGATGCTTGTGGGTGTGAAGCCACACTGGTATTCCAGGACAAAGTCAGCTCATATCTCCAGAGACTGAATGCAAAACATATCCTTTCTGGTAGTTTTTCTGCTTCTGTTTGAATCCCACTTAGGTACTACAATGGAACCATACATTGTCCAACATTAGCGTATTCTACAGAACAAGTGCCTTATCCCCTAAATGTTGAGCAGTAGTAATAATACACAGCTTTTTCTTTTTTAAAAAAAATCTAATTGAATTCCCTTTTAAGGTTTTAAATAGACCATTTCATTCATTTAATATTTACAAATAAAAGTTGCCCAACTATTTCTTTGCTTGTGCTTTTCCATAGCAATATATCCTAAATGAGCTCTTACATAGGAGATAGAGCTATCATGCTATGATTCTTTATCATGGTCTTCTTAGTTTAGAATTTATACACATTCAGAATGAGTCAGATGATTATTGGGGTGTGATAGATTAGACATACTTGTACATATTGGGTAGCCAGATGACCAAAAAGCAAATTTCAATCTAAAAACCTTTCAAAATCAGTTCTTTAGCCAAAGGAGTAACTCAGGAAAAGCACTTTTTCTCAGCACAGCTCAAGTTAACAATTCTGGTCCTAAGTACCTCATAGATAAAACCAAACCCACTGCCATTGAGTCGATTCCGACTCATAGTGAACCCCATTTCTGAGGTGGTAAATCTTTATGGAAGTAGATTGCCCAGTCTTCCTTCCACAGAGTGGCTGCTGGGTTTGAACTGCTAACCTGATGGTTAGCTGTCAAATGCCTCAGGCACTATGCCACTAGAGCTCCTTTATCTTATGGAAGTGGTATTCAAATTTTGGTAGTAAGCCCTATAAGTATGCAAAGACTTTCAAGGATCAGATAGTTTTAAAGGATTTAATTTCCAAATCCTTCATTTCCTTAAACTGATCTAATATAGTACTTGGGTTCAGTTGGCATTCTCTTTTCTCATCTTCCATCTCAGGGTTACTATTAGCTTAAATTTATAGAAAAGCATCCCTCTTACTTAGGAGCTCTGGTAGCATAGTGCCTAAGGCACTTGACTGCTAACCAGAAGGTTGGCAGTTCAAACCCACCAGCCACTCCTCCGAAGGAAGGTTGGGCATTCCTACTTCCGTAGTGATACTGCCTCAGAAACCCAAGGAGGGGTCACTATGAGTTGGGGCCGACTCGATGGCAAATAACAACAACAACATCCCTCTTACTTATCCTGAATCTAACTAAGATACTTTCCTGGAAAATTAAAATATCCAGAGAGACAAACAAAGGGACAATACAATAATTCCTTTAATCAAGTCTTCATAAATGTTGCTTCCCCAATCCATTCAATTAAGATATGCCTTTCCAATTAAATTTTACCTTTTATTTTCATGATTATTTGTTAAAATTTGTAATTTATTTGTTGTTTAGATCAATTACGTGCTCATCATAATTATAATGTTTACTAAATCCAAGTGATTTATTTGAAAAAATTAAGGGCCTTATTATAACAGAAAATTAATTTAAAGGTTAATTTCAACATGTGTATAGGGTTGTTGTTTATATATTTATTTGAGGAATATAATAGAGTGATTACAAAAAGATTTCCAAGATTCAAAGTACAATAAAAATTTGTGGGGAAAGTAGAAAGGAAATAAATTAAAAAAACACTTTAAATATTTTAAGTGCTTGATTAAAAAAAAAATTCAGTTGCTGTCAAAACTATTCCAATTCCTAACGCCCATATGTGTCAGAGTAAAACTGTGCTCCACAGGGTTTTCAATTGCTGTTTTTTTTGGAAGTAGAATGCCAGGCCTTTCTGAGGAGGTGTTTGTGGGTGGGCTCAAATTATACCTTGGGTTAACAGCATAAAGTTAACTTTGCACCACCTTGTGGTATGTGTGTGCAATTGCTGTTGAATTGGATCGACTCATAGCAACCCTTCCTTGCGTTTCCGATACAGTATCACTACTGAAGTAGATTGCCCAACCTTCCTTCTGAGGAGCAGCTGGTGGGTTTGAACTGCCAGCCTTCTGGTTAGCAGTCAAATGCCTTAGGCACTATGCCACCAGGGACTCCTAAATGAATCGTAATAGGTATCAATAGCATTACTGTTATATGGAATACATATGAAGGACTGATTTAAGTTTTTATTTTAAAGGGTCAATATTTATAAAATACTAGAAATTACTAATTTGTAACTATCTAAATGTATGATGAAAATTTCATATAATTTAAATATGTGCAAGAGCACAATTATTTGTCAAAATTATTTTAAAGGATATCTGAGTAAAAATCTTTGAAGACTAATGCTTTATATCATGATCACGAAGAGCAGAATGACCAAATTTTAGATTAGACTTTTGGTGGCAAACAGTTTTGGTCTTCTTCACTTACAATTGGACTTAATGATTTCCTTTCATCTTGTGTTAGACTGTTTGAAAGTCTTAAATTTATTAAAAATCAGAGGTTAGTTCACTATACTTTTTGTGAAATCTTGTGAACAAAATTAAGTAATTGTGATTTTTTAGTGAATTTACAGTTAGTTTTTAATTAAAGGTGCATATTTATACATTCTGTTTTATGTTTAAGTAGATACATTTTTTTTAATCTCTAGTATTAAAAAATCTCTAGATGATCAATAGTAAAAGTAACAAAAATTGTCAAGGCTGATATTAGTTTACAAATGATAATAAATTCACAAACCTTTTTTAATATGTAAAAATAAATGGTGTTGGCCTTAACAACTAGCCACTTGATGACATTTTGGAGAAGTTGCAAGTAAATGACTACGGACAAGCGCATCGTTAAAGCGTTCAACTTTTTCTTCTGGAAATGTGGAGAGCTTGGTGTATTTAATACTTATTCAGTTTTTTTTTCACACAATTGAGCATCTCCAATGTGCCTGATAATAATTTGTCATTACAAATGCTTGAATAATATTGCATAAATAGTAAGAGGATCTTCAGTTGAATCAGTTTCTTTTAATCCACCGAAATAAATACCCAGATCTTTATTAAGAGCATCCTTTAATCTCTCTAAATTATGACTGTGAAATAGTTGGCATGAAATAGAATGCAAAGTATAATGTTTCTTTTTTTATTTCTAATCTACTAATTGAGCCATTTAATTTTTAAATGTTTGTATTAGTGAGATAGCCATGTTCATAACACAAACTTGATTTATTTTCTACTGTATTTGTAATATAAACCAATTTTATTCCTGTGAGTGTAAACTATACAAAGTATTTACACATTAAAAAGTTCATATAATTAAATTGAGGTGAATAAAATTTAGAACTATTTCTTTTAATGCTCTTTGTTTTTTTGCTTTTACTTCTGCTGGAGTATTATTGAAGCTGTGATCAGGGGATTGCAATATAGATATCTAAAACAGCACAGATTAAGTGAACGTTACATGTCATTTTAAATTCATTCTGATGTTAGAAAGACATGCACAATTGAAGAATACTAGTTTAGTTGCAAATTAAAAGTGTTATAACTTTTTACCAAGGATTCAAACCTCCTAACTTTAAGGTTTTTGCTTTAGAAAGCAGTAAAAAAAAAAAATGATTTATTCATAAATATTGCTATAACAAGCTACAAAACCTTATGTTGTCTTTTCTAATGTTAACGATAAGCCTAGCTTTTTTTCACTCCTATACATATAATTTTATTCAGTCTTAAAGTTTGTAACTTTTAGAACAAACAAAACAGTCCTTTAAATTGTGTACTGTTAAGTGCTTCTTTTGGTTTGTATTATCTTTAGCATAATAAATTATATATTACTTTCATGCTTATTTTTTGTGTGTGTGATTATTATATCAATTTTGTCTATTAAGCATATTTCCAGGGAGCTCTGGTAGCATAGTGCCTAAGGCACTTGACTGCTAACCAGAAGGCTGGCGGTTCAAACTCACCAGCCACTTCTCGGAAGGAAGGTGGGGCAATTTACTTCTGTAGTGATACTGCCTCGGAAACCCAAGGAGAGGTCGCTATGAGTCGGGTCCGATTGGACGGCACATAACAACAACAAGCATATTTCCTTAAATCAAACTGATTGAAATAACAATTAATTTGAATGTATAGCAGTTTCTTGTCAAAGTACAGACTGTTGAAAGTTTTCCTATAATTTAAGCTCACAATTTTGAGGCTGAAAATGTAAATTCAAGGAGGGAATAATACAAAGTCATTTAAATTTAGATAAAACAATGATGAGCATTACATTAATATAAGCTCTTGAAAAGTAAATATAACCTATGTAAACCCAGAAGGAGCCAAAAGTCTAAAATATAAAGGAACTGAAGAAAAAAAAAACATAAAACTATTTTTAATATACCAAGACAGTCCACATTACCTGAAACATATTGTTACGTTCTCATTTTTTTTGAAAGTACATGAGAAAAGAGTATTTTTCCCAAACTTATCACAAAAATCAGTAATATATATTAATATATCACAGAGAAATGGCACTATGTAAGGAATAAATGAGAGTTCATTTGCAAGAAGTAGGAAAAGGTGTTTAAAAAGAGAGATGATTTTTCCAAACTGTTACCAGTAGTAACTAGCTTCAACTAAACTGTTCTTGTGTGTCATTGAGCAGATTCCAACTCATAGCAACCCAGCAGGACAGAGTAGAATTGCCCCATAGTCTTTTCTTAAGGTAATCTTTATGGGAGCAGATTGCCAGGTCATTATCCTACAGAGCCACTGGTGGGTTTCAACTGTCAACCTTTAGGTTAGCAATGGAGAGCTTAACTATTGTGCTCCTTTCAACTAAACTAATCATATTTTTAACTTGATCGATTGATTGGAATCCCCTGGCTTAGATAATACTAATTTGTTTCCTGACTCTAGTCTAGCAAGCATATGAACAGGGGTCAATTTATCTTGTCTCTTAGGAATTACAGTTTAGTGCTGAAAAAAATGGATACTACTCTGTAGAGATACCTCCTGGGAAACCCAAGGAGGGGTGGCTAGGAGTCCAATCGAATTGACTGCACTGTTTGTTTTTTTAATATACGCACCTTGGAAACCCAATAGTGGTCAGATGAGTTCAATCAACTGGATGGCTATGGGCTTGGGCATAAAGTAGATGCGGATTAAACACGTCAACAGTGATAGAGTATAGTGAAAGAAACACCAGAGATAAAAAGAGGGATGAGACAAAGGACAAAGAAGAATGAACAAAGGGGGTAAAAAGAAGAAGAAGAAAATATAGAACAGGCCACCCTAGGCGAGGAAATACCAAACACGTAGTTCAAGTATTTAAAATGTGAGTTTACACCCGCAATAGCATATGCTGTAACCGCCCCAAACTCAAACGTATTCCTTTTATAAGGACCCTTGGCTGCAGTAACAGTTTAGATAAGCTATTCAAAACAGAATAAAGAAATTCCTTATTCCCAAATTGCTCCACAGGATTCTCAAATGCCCAAAGGCTCAATGGAAGGTGTGCAAGATCTCAAAACACGCATTTGCAGTTTCATTAGGCAGACGGCGCCAGCCTACCAAATACAGTAAATGACTTTTCCCTTTGAAGAATGTTGAGACTACTAGGCTTACAAAACACCAAATCATGTGATCTCATTTTAACGGGCGCCTTTACTCCTTAGTTTAAGGAGCCCTTGTGGTGCAGCGGTTAATTAGCGAGTCGATCGTAGTAGCTGCTGCACAGGAGGAAGATGTGGTAGTCAGCTCTGTAAGATTCAGCCTTGAAAGCCTTATGGGGCAGTTCTATTCTGTCCTACAGAAACACTATGAGTCGAAATTCGACGCGACGGCAATGGGTATGGTTTGGTTACTCTCCAGTTTACATTAACACCTCAGGCGCAGTTTAAGGGCAACGGTCAAAGATGTGGCGTCTCCTCAGAGCTCACTCAGACCGAGTGTATGTAACTCAGGTGATGACGCAGGCAGACACCTCTGGCGTGCGTAGCGTTAGCAGTGGCAGGTCGTTGATCCAGCTCTAAGTCTAAAGTGGAAAGTCCTAGAGGCAAAGGGACCAGGCTCAAACACAAGCTCTGCCCCTCCACCCACGACCCCCAAGACTGACCAGCGACTGCGCAGGCGCAAGATTTCCAAGCGCTCCATGCGAAGTCGATACCGGAAGCATCCCTTCGCGCCCCGGATGCGCCCAGGAGGCGGTGGTTGCCAGGGAAACGGGAGCTTTCTAGAGCCGCTTGTTCTCTTGATTGGAGATTTAGAAGGAGTTACCTGTCGCAGACTTTGACGGCTGGGTTCGTCTTTTCGAGGTTCCCAGGATGTTTTTTTACCTGAGCAAGAAGGTAAGTTTTTCAGGGAGCGCCCTAGTTCCCCCTCCATACCTGCATCCTGCGGGCGATTCCCGCATCCTTCCGGAGAAGCTGGGACTCTTCACCCAGCTTCCCATTCCGCTTCCAACCTTCCTGCCTGGTCCAGCTTCGGACCTCCTATCGGTACCCGCGTCCTAGATAGTGGTTAACAAAGCCAGCAAGCAGCCTTCTCGTAGGACTCTTCTCCTGCCCTGTGCTGGGTCCTTCATGGGGGCCAGCAGGAAATACTTTTATTTTACTATCTGTTGCTGATCCATATGACTTAAATTCTTCGGATTATCACGGACCACTGGCAAGAAAAAAGTATTAATAAAAGGATAGCCTAAGTGTTGTGTGTAGAAGGGGAATATGGATTGATTGTATGGATTTATGTCTCCGTCCTCACTCCCACTCCCTCTCCCTTCTTTGTCCATCGAGTGACGCCCTCGTTGGGTTCCTCTGCAGTCACTGTCCTCTTGTGTGCACCTCTTTTCTCTCTTGTCAAATGGTAGGATCCTGGGCAGTTCATGGGACTATGTCCGTTTTAATAACAGCTCATACTTGTGCAGCCTGGTCCATTTTTCTTCTTGGAGGATTTTCTTCAGTCTCCATCTTTTATAGACTCATTTCCAACTCCTTTTTGAAAAGTTGCTAGAATGGCTATGATTGCATTTCAGATTGCCATTCCCAATAACGTGAAGCTGAAATGTGTATCTTGGAACAAGGACCAAGGATTCATAGCATGTGGTGGTGAAGATGGATTACTGAAAGTTTTGAAATTAGAGACACAGACAGGTAAATGAATGTAAGCCCAAATGTTTGAGACTGATAGGAAGTTGGCTAGTATTGTTTGGTCAATGAGATTTACTCATGGTATTTGTCATTAGGAAATTCTAGTTCTTTAAAAAGGGAAAAATACTAACCTTTTTTTTGGATTTTTCAAGAGTGTTTTTGCAATAAATTAAGAGAATAGTGTATTTGTTGAATAAATAAATGATGAATAAATGTTAGATTCTGCAAAATCTAGTAAAAACTTCTTTTTGAATCTTACCTGTTTGATCTTTCTTATTCTTTTACAGTTTTCAATTTATATATCTATCTTAAATACTTCTATGTGTGATCTTTTAGGGAGGAATGACTAGCAATAATAATTATTAATTTATTTAAAGCAAAAAAAAAACCCTCACTGCCATCCAGTTGATTCCAACTCATAGAGCAACTCCCTTTGGGTTTCCAAGGCGGTAAATCTTTATGGAAGTAGATTGCTTAGTCTACCGTGGAGTGGCTGGTGGGTTTGAACTGCCAGCCTTCTGGTTAGCAGTCAAATGCCTTAGACACTACACCACCAGAGCTCCTTATTAATATACATTTGTTGTTGTTGTTGTTGCTGTGTGCCGTTGAGTCGGACCCGACTCATAGCGACCCCTCCTTGGATTTCCGAGGCAGTATCACCATGGAAGTAAATTGCCCCATCTTCCTTCCGAGGAGTGGCTGGTGGGTTTGAACTGCCAGCCTTCTG